AAATCAGCTGGACTCACATCCAGCACCCGCTAAGTCTGAGGGACACACAGACGCTGTCACTGGCTCCCAAGCTGGCGCAATATAAATATCTGACGCCTCTAGAACACCTCGGGCCAGGTGGAAAGGGTCAAAGCCTAGTTCTTTGATGCTGACCCTTCCTTCCCTAGGAACATCCACGTCCACAAGCGAGACCCCAGTCATGTGAGCTCGCTCACAAACACCACACTTCCTGTCACCAGAGACTCTCACACACCCTCAGGGTGGTCTCCTCTACATTCACCTCGGGTCAATGTTTCCCTGCCATTTACTGTGAGAATGAACATTTGCCAGGCCCTCTTTTCAAGCTCATGCATGTCGATATAGTTTTTCCTTCTAGAAAATACTAGGTTTAAAGCAGTATCGCAATGAAAAGTAGAGTTCCTGTTCACACCATGATATTCTCCTGAACAGACCTAAATTTCTCTCCTACTGTATTCCACGTGTTTACCTGGAGTGCTTGAACTCCCCGGGAGGGGGCCCCGGGCCCTCCACACACCGTGTAGCACAATGCCATTCTCGGGCTTCCACTCCAAGCTGGAACCTTTACCCCAGCGGTCCCTAACAGGAGGGCTTCACGCTGCCTGGCCTCCCCAGATACAAATCCAAGCATGGTCCTACCTTGCTTCAAATCCTTCCAAGGCTCCCCGTGCCCTTGGAATAAAGCCCACAAGGCTCTGTCCATCCCAGCTGCTGCTTCTCTGTCCAGCACCACCTGATGCCATGCTCTCCTCTCCTCCAGCCAAACAGATTCCTCCAGACCCACCGACCTCTCTCCTGCTTCGGGGCCTCCTGCCACCTGCATGGGTCCTCTCTCTTCCCCTCTCCCCCCGAACTCCTACTCTCCTTACTTCTCAGCGCAAACACCAGCTTCCTCAGTGAGGCAGTTCCCCCAGGATAAATAAGTTCCACAGTGCGGTCACACACTCCCTCACAGCCGACACCAGTTGAAATCTTTGAAACCAGTTCATTAACAGTCATACTAGGTGACCATCACTTCCACTACAATGGAAGCTTCATGAAGTCAAAACGGAACCTTGTTTCCCAACCTATGCCAATAAAATTAACCCTTTAGTATATCAGAGGATAAAGGAGACACTACATTGAGTTGAAAATCCTTTTAATTTCTAAGCCTTTTTTCCTGCCGTTCTAAGAATCCCTGATAGTTTCAAGTTCGAGTACACAGTGAAAAGCAAAGTTAACGCACAAGAACTTCCACAGGTGTTCTGAGTGAATCCTCAGGGATTTAACTGTGTTCAAAAGTTACCTGGAAAAACTGTTCATGACATTTTCACTCTGAGATTTTTTTTTTTATAAGAGATCTAGAAGTTTAAGCAAAAATCACAATCGACAAATAAATACACACAGTCACCTTCCATCAAATGTGCAACTATTTTCAAAGCTGTGATTTTTTTCCCCATTCATTCAGTATATATTTACTGAGCCCCCACTAATAAAGTACAGACACTGTGCTAGGCATACAAAGACAAACTCCCTGCCCTTAGGAGTCCACTGCCACACAGCAAATGGCACCAAGAATTTTATTTGTCATCGCAAGAATCTTTGGGAAGGGACAGGGCAGAGTTCCTAAAAGCAAAACTCAGAAATGTCAGAGGAACAAGAATTCAATCTAGAGTGTCCTAAGTGTCAGAAATGCAGCCAGCTATTCCTTAATGCCTACAGACCACAAATCCACAAGCAGCAGTAAACTCAGGTGGAGTTATTTAAACAAAAACTTCCTCGCCATCTCTAAACTCTCATATGTTTAACATTAAGTATATAAAAACTACACCTCTGCCATGGTATACCTCCTTTTATTTGGCTTTGCTTTAGTGCACTTCACAGATGTTGCATTTTTTTTTTTTTTTTTTACAAGTTGAAGGTAAGACCCTCCACCAGCAAAAAGATGACCACTCGCTTTATTTTCATACTTGCTTTATTGTGGTGGTCTGGAACTGACCTCGTAAAATCTCTGAGGTCTGCCTATATTGCTGTGAAACACCAAAAGCTAAAGGGGCTGATTGAAGTCTACAAAACTTTGTAAATTTACACAAATATTGACAGTGAGATAAAATATGAAATAGGTCAAACACTGGTGACATTACTAGATACACTGGAAACAGCTTTACCCAAGTTGTCAAAAAAACTAGCACTGCACTAATACACTAGACGCTTGGACTTTGCTGCCTTATAAAAATGCATGTAGTAAGTTACCATAAAAATAACTTTGGAAAAACAATGACTCTCCCAAGCTAGACATAACAATTTTAAAATCTAAATGAACCTCTCTCCATTTTATGGGTTGTGCTTAAGACTTGTAGTGCTTTATACTCAGTGCTATAATACAACCTGATACAAATAAAAATTATTTCCCACCTTATACTAATCAAATGGAAATAAACTGAATAGACAGCCCCAGGCTCTCTGAAAGCATACTTGCATTGCACAATTTTTTAAATCACAAGTGAACTTGAAAATTTAATATTTACTTAGCACTCAATGCTATATGTTTAGATACTGTGCTAGGATTAAATTAGATGGTGTGTATAAAACATCTAACAACTCTATTGCTATTATTCCCATTTAAGAGGTGAAAAAACTGGGGCTTTATTAGTTGAATGGTCCACAATCCACATCTAGTTAAGGTGGCAGAGCTGGGAATTAAACTCAGGTCATTCCACTTAACTGAGTATTTGTGGGACCTGGTGTTTCTGCCTGAACCCTCTGGAATGGTATTTAAAATTGTGTGTGTTTTCTGAGCAGACAGTGGAGAGCTTTCATTAGATTCTCGAAAGGGCCCCCCTACCAAGAGCTTAAGAACCACTATACACCATCACCAGTGTACAACCAGAAAATGTGCACTGGGCTTCAGCCCCTTTCACCAAGACGATCACTTCTCTACTCCTGGGGGGGGGGGGGGGGGGCTCAGTTTTTTCACTTTAAAATTCTCAGAGCAAATCAAGATTTCCTTTCCTGGACATTTTCCAGTATCCACTGCTACAGGTTAAGTTACACGATAAATTGCAATACCATATCAGTTCACATTCAATTCTGAGATTTCACAAATACTGACCAATGTCATCTAGTCATTCCACTTTCCAAAATGTGTTTCGCTCAACCAATCCTCACCCCATTGCCTGTGAAATAAGCTATCATTATACTAACTTCCGAAAAGTAAAACACTGTCACCCTGAGGCCAGGCAATAAATCAGCTACAGAATCCAGATCAAATGTGAGAAGTTCCCGCCTTCCCCTTCCTAGGATCCACAAGACCATGCCATGTACCAAGGAGCACCCTCCTAGCAACACAGAAAACATAGAGCAACTAACTCTACCATCTTCTCTACCAATGACCATAGTAAATCTAGCAGTAAATCAATGTTAAGGCATACCCCCACTGCCCAGTGAGGAGTGTGCTCATCTCTGAAGATTGAGGCAGGTGTTGCAGGGCAAACAAACATGAAAACACATGCCTGGCATCTTCAAAAGGAAATGCAACCACTGCGGAACCCCGGTTCAGTAGCTCTGTGGTGGGTGTGGCACTCAGTTTAACTCCTGGCATCTGGTCCCTAGAATCAATATAAACTTTGGATCCAAACTAAATTCCTGATCAGAAAATGAAGAAGTGTACGTGTATAAATGATTTTTACCTTGAAGTTTGTTGGTCAAATTACTGAACTGAACTTCAGGGGAATTAAACAATTCATCCAAGGTCTCACAACTCAGGAGCAGGGACAGTTTTAGAAAGCAGATCTCCAGATGCAGGATCCCTGCCCTCCTCCGGGGGAATTGGGGAATGGGTCATGGTTACTGCCAGAAGCTGGGCCAACCACCATCTAGGGTTTGCTCCACCCCACCAGGCTTGAAACCTCACCTTGTGCTAGATCTAGTTTTTGCCTTCAGGCTGAGGTCCCAGGGGGCTACTGTCTGGGCAATGGCCTCAGCTTGCAGAATCTCTGAGAAAAAAGACATTCACTACAGCTAATCCCATCGGAGAGAAGGAAAATACCATTCTGGCACTGAGGAATTAACTTCACAAGGAGGCTGTGTTAGGGTGATGTTTTATTTATGGCCCTGCCTAATCAAGATGACTTCCCTACAAGAAACGTCCAAAGCAAACAATTTTAAAGGCATGAAGAACCTTATGCTTCCTGAAGTGTCCTCCAAAGGCAGAAAAAAAAGAAAAGGCCAGAGAAAGCAGGCAGAAGACACCAAAGTCACGTGCTCAACGTCTCAGGATGCGACCCACAAGTTCTGGACGAACATCCTTCCAGGAAACTAGGATGGGCACAGTCCCCTGAAGAAGGTGGGCTCTATTTAGTTTGGCGACCAGCGCGCATCTGGACACCCTGAACCAAGTCCAAATGGGAGGTGCAGATGCGCACGTCAGCGCCGTGGGCCGAGAGCTGGGAGTTCTCCTCTGCTGGAGGGCCGCTGCGGGGACCAGCCAAAACCACCCGTGGGCGATCCTAGGGGGGCTGGCGCCACAGAAACCCCGCGATGCAGCTTCGCAGGGACGGCTCCATTCGTCCTCCAACCCCAACACAGCATCTCTCGCTCTCACACCCACCTGGGCTACACACTCCCCCTCGACCAAGCGCTTCGGTGGGAAACCACGCCCACTTCGGAGCAGGAGATCTTAGTTGTGGGGACAAGCCAGGCGTCCAGATCACATCCATTCACAGACCCACCATAGCAAATACAGGCAGTAACGAGTTTTGTTGCTTTGACATTTTAAATCACTCTATCAGGCAGCACATGTAGACACACACACGGAGGTGACAGCCACGGGGGCTGACCCACAGGGAGGCTCCTAATGGTCATTATCCCGGCTCGGGACAGAGTACCTGGGGTCCCCCGCCCCCCTCCAGCCCCAGTGAGCCCTGCCCACCGCCGGGTGGAGAACAGGGTTCGCCAGGCAGCCAGGACCCGGAGGGGCCGCGGTGGGGAAAGGTGGCGCCCACCTCCTCGTCCTGCTCCTCCTGGGACGCGCTGCTGCCCTGGAGAGCAGACGGCGCGGCTCCTCCGGGGCGCGGCGGCGGCGCGGACACTCCAAGCTCCAGCACCACGCGTGTGGGAGCCCACGCGGCGGGCAGCCGGGTGCCCAGGGCGCCGCCCGGCGGTGGCGGCGGCGGCGGCGGCGGCTGGCAGGAGAAGCCGCCGGGCTCCCCTTCCTCCGACAGAGTTTCTGATCCCGAGGAGGACTCGGCCGAGGAAGCTCCCTGCGAGGACGCGGCCGTCGCCGCAGGGGCGGGAGTCCGGGCGCCGTAGCTGCTGCAGCCGCGGGGCACCGGCTCTGGCGCCTCCGAAACTTTCTCCCCCATTTCCCTCTCGGGCCCAAAGTGCAACCCGAGGGGCGGCGGGGGCGCGGCGCGCGCTCAGCGCCTCTGGGAAAAGCCGCGGGCTTCTGGGTCCGGCTTGCTGTCGCTGTCGCTCCCGGGCTGCGGGGAGCCCCGCCGGCGACTACATGGCCATGGCACGGCTGCCGGAGCCCGCCGCCAAGTTGGCAGCCGCCCGGGCCCGCGGGCCGATGGGGGCTCCCGCGCGTGGAGACATGCCAGCTGGGGTCTGCGCTCAGCGCTGCACAGTCCTCTCGCGCTGCGCCCCAGCCGCCGGGACTGCGGCTTCTCCAGTAAAACCTGCCTACGGGACCGAGCGGGGCGGCGGAGAAGACAGGCAGCCGGAGAAACCAATGGCAGGGCGGGCGCGCCGGTGGGCGGAGGCTGTGGCGCCCCAGGCGCACGGGCGTCAGGTAGGGAAGGCGGGGCCGAGGCGCAGGCTGCAGGGTCCCGCCGGAGCGCTAGGTCCAGTTGGAACGCTGGGGCCTGAGAAACCTGGCCTCCTGGAGGATGGAATTGGAACCCAGAATCCGAGCCGAAGGCCGGGACTCCGAACTTAGTGGAGGAGTAGCTGGCGGTCCTTGGCTGAGGAAGCGGTGAGACTTTGAAGAACTGAACTTTGTTTAGCAAAAGTGGAATCGAGGAAACTGACCAGAGGAGAAGTAGTTGGGCTTTGATGGGAAGAGGAAACACACACACACAGCAGGCACACACCCACCAGCGTGCTGGAGGAGAAAAGGGGGGAAGTCATGGTGTAGTGAGTGGATCCAATCGGAACTGATCCCCAGTCCCGGATTCTCCATTTAAACTCCTCGGGCCTCGGTTTCCTCAACTGGAAATGTAGGTATTAATACTTGTCTGGCTATGGGCAGAATTAGAGCAAATTAATACAAAGCTTCAGCAGACTGCCTGGCTTAGACACATGGAAAGTTTTCAGAAAGACATTTTCCTGTCGTTATTTCTGTTTATAAACTAAAAAGTTAAGTCAAAAACGTGTACCTTTTGAAAGAGAGGGAAATAACCAATTATGCTTCTGTAATTAGGACTGAGAATACACCCAGCACTGTGCCAATGATAGACAAAGCTGAATGAGAAAGGGCTCCCTGTCCTCCCATTGATGGTCTCCCCGCATTAACTAAGCAGGGGGAGGAAAAAGTTTACATTCACGGTTTACTTTCTCCTAGCCCTGGATTGTAAACCAGCAAGATGCAGAGCTGGGTGCTTCATTTCCCTTATCTCTCAGAACTAGGAGAAAACTTTCACCAAAGGCACCAATGGAATCACTTTAAGGCCCTTCCTGGAGCAGCTTTTGAGGGGAGAGGATGGCTTGAATTACTCAGAGGCCAGCACTCAGCTCAGCAGTGGGAAATAAATGATTTTCCTCACTTGCTTTCAGCTCCAGCCCTATTCTGAGCTCTGGCAGTGTGACCTGGGATATAAATTCAAACAGATTCAATTCCACAGACGTTGATTGAGATGTGTGCCAAGTGCTTGCAGGGGCTACAAAGATGAATAAGGCAGGTTCTCTGCCCTTGAGGAGCTTATGGTCAAGCAAGAGATTGATGCTGCCTAATATAGCTCCATTTTTAATTTTTAAAAGCTGAGGTAGTGCTACAGGAACAATGTGCCATGGAGAAGAGAAGAGAAGAGAGTTACAGAAAAACAGTCACCGGGTCCTCAAGCTTAGGAGTCCTCAAGAATCTTAGATTTCTCTTTGTCAGAACAGTTTTCCCAAAGGTCCTTAAGAACTGAAGGACACGAGTTGAAAGCCCCTTCAGCTAATGAGCCCTTTTATGCTATCACGGTATTTAAAAGTGATACATCATACAAAATGCTTCATCATATTGGACAGCAAGCTTTGTCCTGATCGGTTTCCTCCCCTGAGATGAAGGGGAAGGAAATAAGATGTGACCCCATTGCCATAAGCAGCCATACTGCAAAATGGACTCCGGCTGTCAGGCTTGCATTGTGACACTTGAGAATTATTTGCAGGGCTGTGAAGACCTGCTGAGGCAAAAGGATGATTCTAGAGACTTGGATAAGTTGTGAGAGCAAGGCTGAAGAGAGAGCACAGTGGGGCAGTCTGAGTCCAACCCTGGGCTTCACAATTGATTTTCTCATCAGGAGTATTGGTCTTTATCTGAGCCCCTATGTGGTTGATTCGCCACAGCCAGAGTGAAATGACAACTTCAGCAAGCCATTCACACAAAAGAGAAGGAGGGGTTGCTTTTCAGTACATTGGGAAATAAGAAGCAGTGACATGACCTGAATTACTAACAGGAAGAATGATAACAGCTATTATTGCTTGAGCCCTAAGCATCGTCTATGGATGGCCTCATTTAATCCTGGCAACAACCTTAGGAGAGAGTCTAATAGCCCCACTTTATAGATTAAGAAACTGAGGATCTGCAAGGTCAAACAACTTGCAAGTGGTCACACAGCAAATGAATGGTAGGACTGTGGTTTGAACCCAGCAGTCTCGTTCTAAGGCACTCTTTCTAAAACATTCCAGTATAATGCCACTCAGAACATACAACTTTTTTGAGTACATATGCATATTAGATTACAAATGTCCAGAGGGCAGGGACTTTGTTGTTTTAACTCCGTATGTAAAAGGATATAAAAGCATACTTGTGGAACAGATTTTTTTTTCCCCCCCCACAAGCAATTTATAAGGCACTTACTATGTGCCAGGCAAGATTTTAAGCACTATACAAATGTTAATTTTCTTTTCTTTTGTTCCTCACCCAAAGATATGTTTTTATTGATTTTTTTTTTTTTTTTTTTTTTTTTTTGGAGAGAGAAACTTTGATGTGAAAGAGAAAAATTGATTGGTTGCCTCCCACATACCCCCAGACCAGGACCCCAGCCTGTAACTTAGGTATGTGTCCTAACCAGATATCAAACCCAAAACCTTTTGGTGTACAAAACAACGCTCCAACCAACTGGGCCATCTAGCCAGGGTAAATGTTAATTCCCTTAATCCTGTTATCAACCCTGTGAGGTAGCAACTATTATTATTCTTCTATTACATATGTGAAATGTATGAAAACTATGGCATAGAGAAGTTAAGTAATTTTCCCAAAGTCACCCCGCTGGCAAGTGATAGAGCCAGGATTCAAACTTGAACAGTTAGGCCCCAGCATTCATGCCTTTCACCCTCCAGATTAAAGTCAAGTACTAGAGCAGTATTTCTTAAACTTTTTAAACCTTCACTCCAAATAAGCAGTATATTTCACATTGTATTTCATGACACATACATACATACAAATACAAATTCCATGAAACAATACTTACCCTTCCTATCAGCATTGCAGTCTAACATTTTTGTTATAGTTTATGGAAAATAAAACTGCTAGTTATGATCAGCTATATGGATGCCACACTCCACTTTGACACACAGGCAAAAGCCGTGTACCTGATCACTCGCACAGCTGACCGTGAGGAAAATATGACTGTGGTTCAGGCAGAGAGCTTCCAGATCAGAAATGGGCAAACTCAAAGCATGACTCTTAAATAGAAGATGATCAGAAGGTCGAGATAGTTCCCCAAAGGCACCCCAATTATACCTACAAACAAATGCTGGGATATGGTCAAACCACTAGATCAAAGTCAGTTTTTATCTAAATCCTACAATTTACCTTTCTTATCTTATTACTGTAATTAAATTATAAACATCTTTTTCCATGGCCAGGCAAGCATCCCTACAAGAGAACTTCTCATAAATGTCCATAATGTTGGAGACTTGCGGACCAGAAGAGGGTATAAAAGCATGACTTTTTTTCCTGCAGTGTCACTGTAGACAAGAGCCAAAAAAGTAAAAATGACATAGTCATAACCCTGGGAAGCTGATACACGACAGAACCAGATTAGCCTACAGACAAGGAAGAACAAGGTCAGCCTACTCCAAGGTAATCGGGTCCAGAATTTCCTTTGGACATACTCCCAATTGATTGATCTGGGACAAGCACCCCTGGGCACTGAGAAAGTGTTCATTGTGTTTTGTGATCACGTGCCTCAGTTCTCCCAAGTGATGGCCCCTGAGGCCTCTGGGAGTCTGTTGTCTCTGCTGAGTGGGAGGGGCCCAGTGAAAATGGCAAGCTTGGTCTTTGAGAGATGGAGGATGTTCAGGGACAAGTCATCACACCTTTAGTCTATTTCCAGTGTCATGACCTTTCGCCCATGGATTGGGTTTAGGAATTAATAAAATTGAAATCGAGTTGTCTTCCTTTCTTACATACATAAAATTAGAACATTAAAACTCACAATGAACATTTTTGCAAAATTACAAGTAAATATGTTCCTATTTGATACATTAAAAAATCCTAAACATATCTCCTCGGTTTATTCACCTCTGGTAGGTTTTTTATTATGATTATTCGTGATGGATTTGCCTGCTGCCCATGACCAATGGAGTACAATTTCAAGAGAAAGTAAACATTGATGAAAAAGTGGCTCTTGCCCTGTCCAGTTTGGCTCAGCGATTAGTGTTGGTCTGAAGACCAAAGAGCATGGGTTCAGTTTGGTCAAGGGCCCGTACCTCGGTTGCAATTCAGTCCCCAGCCCTGGTCAGGGCCATGCCGGAGACAATTAATGTGTCTCTCACACATCGATGTTCCTCTCTCTCCCTCTGTCTTTCTTTCTCCCTCTCTCCCACTCTGTCTGAAAATAAATGGGAAAATATTCTCAGGTGAGGATTGAAATAAATAAATATATATATATATATATAAATAAATAAATTTATTTATATATATAAATAAATAAAGGTGGCCCTTGCGGCAGCCTAGATGCAGGTTTCTGAGCTACACCGAGGGTGTAGCATGACGTGGATCCTGGCAGTCCTGACCATCCGGCCAGGAGGTAAAGCCTTCACGGCTTTTGTTTGTCTGAGGCTCTGGGAAACGAAGGGTTGCAGTACAAGGTTCCAGAAGAAAAGTAGAAGTTTTAAATAATGTTTTAAAAGGAGAGGGGAGGAAAAGTAATAATGTGATTTGATTTGCAGCTGTCGGAGTCTTTGTTTGACCTAAGACTTGGGGAAAAAAAGGGGGGTGGAATAAGATATGTTAGCAAATTAAAATAAGCCTGCAATGGGCCAAAGGGGAGGATGCTGCTGGTCTGATCTCTTAGATCAATGTTTCTCAAAACTGTGTATGTGGAACACTTCATCGGATCACCAGGAGGCAAGCAGGGGAAGATGGGGTGCTGGTTCCCTGGCCCCACCCAAAAGTTTGGGGATCAATATTTTTTAAG